TTTTTATTGCTATATAGGTATATATATACCGATGATCTGTTGGAAGCTACCATATGCCCTATCCACAGCTTTGCAGACGCCAGTACTCTCCATACTACGTTCTCCTCTAGAATCCCCATTTCTTCCAGGAAACCAAGAACTTACGACGAAGGCAGGTCAACGCTGCCAATGACGATCTTGTTGAAATTACTGCCTGAGGAACCAACAACCTAGTTGAATTCACCACCACCAAAACTCAATCCTGTATTTTCTCTAGAAAGGCGGAACTCAGTATGCCAGATATAACAATGTCTGGTACTACCATTCTCATGATCTACAAAGCACAGATACAGCCTGTTCTAGAATATACTGTTTTCACATATAGGGTTCCATCCAGAGAAGAGCAATACGCCGGGTGGGTGATGCCACACTCACTAGTCCTTTGACCTCATTAGAACACAGCCGTAGAAAAGTCGGCGACCTCTCACTTTTCGATAGATACTTCCACGCGGAATGTTTTTCCGAAATTTTTGTTGTCATTCCAGCCAGACGAACTCGACAAGCCCAGTCAAGGCAGTCAGCACATGCTTTCGTTGACAACCTTGAAATATGTCGAACAAAGCTTTACCAAAACTCGTTTATCTATTGAACGGCAAAGATTTGGAATTATTTGCCAATGGAAGTGTTTCCAAGAACTTATACACTGAAAAAAAAAAATTATGAAATTTCACTCCACTCCTATCAATAATGTCTCCATTTCGGTCCACGCCCGATTGGGTTGAAAGTTCACTCTACTTGACTTGTTTCCAGTTCAGATTTGAATATTATTTCAGTTTCGTGATATGTATCTTGAGTGAGTTTCAATTAATTTCTGAGTGCCGAGAACATTCAACGAGTATGTACACAGAAAATAATTTTGTACGTAAAGTTAATGAACGGCAGTCGTCAATTTTTTTAACATTAATATTACGAATCGATGAATATTACAATCATTTCTGATGATGGGTTCATACCGCAAGACACTGAAACAATGAACGAGCCAACATTGAACAATGAACGAAAAACATCAAAAGTTAATCATTTTTTTTATTCATGTGATGAAAAAATTCATTGAATCAAAGTTTGATGTTTATTGATCTATGTTTTTCATCATTGGAGCAATAAACTTTTCGTCATAGATCTATCAACAACAAACATAAGAAAATAATGAATGGTTTTCATTGTTTCAATGAACACTAAACGTTGATTTCATGAAATGAAACATCAACTTCCAAAACAGGCGCCAAATTAATGCTGCCTACCCAAGTACCCATGGATCAATCACGCCAAACATTATTACTATGAAAAGGTTTCATAATACGCGGTGAATTTTTCATTTGCCGTTTTATTTTATTTCTATTCGTTCAGTTGTTAATGAAAAGTTGAAAGGGCTGGGTCGTGTTTTGTGTTTCTGTGGCTCGTAGAATTCCTACCTATTTGTGAAATTGTGCCAGATCATCAAAGGGATACAAAACCTAACATATTTGAGAAGGGTGAAACCTGTTAATTGCGATTTTTGCAATTTAGGAATTTTAAGGCATTTTTGTGATTTTTGCAGTTTTCAGGATTTTTTGCAATTTTTGCAATTTTCAGAAATTTTTGCAATTTCCAGGAATTTTTGCAATTTTTGCAATTTTCAGGCATTTTTGCGATTTTTGCAATTTTCAGGAATTTTTTGAATTTTTACAATTTTCCGGAATTTTTGCAATTTTTAGTCATTTTTGCGATTTTTGCAATTCTCAGGAATTTTTTGAAATTTTTGCAATTTTCAGGAATTTTTGCGATTTTTGCTATTTTCAGGAATTTTTGCGATTTTTGCTATTTTCAGGAATTTTTGAAGCAGAAATGCTTCAGAAAATATGCAAATATACTGGGCATTCCAATTAAAAAAATTGATTGAGATGTTACCAGTAACCTAACCTAAGATATGTTACCAGATCTAGTAACCTGATCTTAGATATGTTACCAGATCTGGTAACCCAACCTAAGATATGTTACCAGATCTAGTAACCTAACTTAAGATATGTTACCAGATCTAGTAACCCAACCTAAGATATGTTACCAGATCTAGTAACCCAACCTAAGATATGTTACCAGATCTAGTAACCTAACCTAAGATATGTTACTAGATCTAGTAACCTAACCTAAGATATGTTACCAGATCTAGTAACCTAACCTAAGATATGTTACCAGATTTGGTAACCCAACCTAAGATATGTTACCAGATCTAGTAACCTAACCTAAGATATGTTACCAGATCTAGTAACCTAACCAAATATATGTTACCAGATCTAGTAACCTAACCTGAGATATGTTACCAGATCTAGTAACCTAACCTGAGATATGTTACCAGATCTAGTAACCTAACCTGAGATATGTTACCAGATCTAGTAACCTAACCTAAGATATGTTACTAGATCTAGTAACCTAACCTAAGATATGTTACCAGATCTAGTAACCTAACCTATAAGGTATGTTACCAGATCTAGTAACTAAAAATGTATAAGGTGAGCGCATTTTTTATACGTCCATGGGTGAGCGAATATTTGTTTTTTGAATATCGTCCAAGTTTATCAGTCTTCGATCATTTAGTGTATTTTTGACATTTCGGAAACATTTTCAGTTGACTTCATTAAAAAATATTCATTACATTTGTTATTCAATACAATTAGGTAGATTTCAACAAAAAATAAAGAAAAATGAAATTTCATCAAGGAAACCAGTGTTCTGCGACTGCCTTGTAAATGTTTATTATATTATTCATCAGGTCACATCAAATTAGAGGATGTACTAGATAATTTTGGGCCGATTTTGGGTTTTTCAAAATTTTAGAAATTAATTACTCTGATGCGTGAAAAAATTGTCCCCTTATTTCTGATAGTGACGATACTGTTGACAACATTATCTTCGACGACGACTCCACTGTTAAATACCAATAGAATTTGTTCGTTACATCAATAACTGGCGAACATAGATTCATGCTTATTTTTCATTGATTCAATGAAGAAAATCATCAAGTGATGTCTATCGTTCGTAATATCAATAACCGCCGATCATAGATCCATGCTAGCTGATTATTGATTCAATGTTCAGCTGTAATAAACTGAGTCTGTCCTTCGTAACTGGCACTTACATATTCATGCTCACTGTTAATTGATACAATGTACATCAACCATAAACCAATGTTTATCATCATAGATCCATGCTCGCTGTTTATTGATTCAATGTACAACAACCATGAACCAATGTAAATCCATTCGTAATATCAATAACCGGCATTCATAGATCCATGACCATTATTCGTTGATTCAACGTACTGCAGTCATAACTTTATCAACAAGAAAATTTACGTACGACCGTTCATTGTATTAATGACACCCGTCATCGACCCAAAATTAATGTTGACGTTCACTGATTTGATGTACTTTTTTATTAATATAACGTACCTTTTTCGTTCTGTGTATATGCCTCTTATTGAGTGCTATTCATTTTTATTCTCTTCTTATGTCTCATAGAAGCAGCCTTTTCATCTTCCGTGATTATTGAGGTATATGACTCCTGAAGTTTGTAGCTAATAATCATGAAAAATATTCGGCGATGCTTCGAAGAGAAGTGAGACAAAATGGGATTCTTCAATATGTCCAGTAATAATTATATCGACAGTAAAATATCCAGCACATTTTTACTGAAAATAGCTTTCGGCTGATATTTCTGAAAATTTGAATCGTTCTTGATATTGGCGATCTCATAGATTCCAATCAGAAGCGAGGTTTTTTCGATCGACTCAAAAGTCGTCCATTTTGGAAGTTGCCTGACACCTGACACAGTGCAATGATCAGTATGTTCCTCGACAAAATTTTTTATGTCTAGGAGCTAAAGTTGGTGGTTATTTTGCATTTCAAAACAACTTGCATGTACTACTTTTGCATCAATGTGAGAATTTCTTTTCGATGGATTAGCATCAGATACAATGAACCACATCCACATCAGTACAAATTATTATATGATACACTGAAAAATCATAAGAACCATCTGTTACTTCATGACTCGCCTAGAAAATGGACGCAAAAAACGAGTCGCGATCATCATTACGGAATGGCATACGATGTCATATGTTCAATGTAACTTCGAGTTGTAGAACAAGCCGATGTTTTCCTCGTCATTGTGGTACAAAAGAGGAATAATTAATTTCAAAAAGCATTACACGTAGGTAACTGTAATCTTATGAAATGCTAGATATGACAATGATGGATATTTGCGATGATAAGCAATTATGTTGAGATTTCTTTAGACATCGCCAAATTAACAGTTTATTTCATCATCAGTCACTGAGTGACCAATATGGCTCTCAAATGCAGTCTCGCATCATGAAACCGTTCAAAGAATTTTCGGATAGAAGTTTTTGTAAAATCAGATAAGTAGCTTAAAAAATCGAATCTTGATCAAGAAAAAAAACAATCAATTTTGACAAATAGGCCAAAATGTTTCAGCCTCTTTGGTTACAGACCTTTCATCAGCGGCATCCCGTATATAGTGTGTCCTCTTTAAGGACTTACCACCCTTGTAAAATCGTTATTATCTGATCGATTTCGAGAAACTTTCTTTTGTTGCATAGGTATTTGAAATATCCATTCAACAAGAGAGTGCTTTTATTCTTCTGGACTGCTATCGTGGCCATCTGCAACCAATTTTATGGATTTTGAATCAGGATCATTCGGAACACACTTGTACCGATTTTTATATTATAAAACACAGGGTGCCTGAAAAACCTAATCATTATTTTTTATATTTTTTCCAATAAGTCCGGTCAGAAAATGTATAAAACAGTCGTATTTTTTTAAAGAATCAATGATACATTATTATTGAGGACTGCTATAGATATATCTTTGCCGAAATTTATCATTCAAATGTACTGTCTGAAAAAAATTGAATAAAAAAGAATATGTAGGCATGGGCGATATCCTTTCATCAATTGAAAAAAATTATATTTCGCAGTCTCGTCTCAGATTATAAACACCCTGTAGTCCTAGCGCGCTATACCTTGCCTACGACGTTTAAAGAAATACAAGTTTTTTGTTTATTAGTCACCGGTATTTCTTTATCACTTCCCGAACTTGATTTATCTTCATTCTAGTTCGTCGTACCGCGCCTATAAGACGTTATTTTCGGTTATTTTAAAAATAAGTGAAAACGTGAAAACAGTGAAAAATATTCGAGGGCTTTAAGAATATGGGGAATAATAAAAGACACAGGAATGATAAACTGGACAAATTCCAGCGGAAACTTAGAAAAATTCAAAAAGAGTTGGAATCAATTCGCCAAAGTAAGTTCAATATATTAATTACGTATTCCTCAAATAGTTACGTCAATTTATTATGTCTTAATCAAAATATATATGTATATATATATTTAAATAGACTTAGAACAAGATGATTCAAGGCGGAAGATCGCAAGACATTAGTTTTTGCAATTCAATAAAAAACGGCTGATACATTTCATGCCGAAATTTAGTTGGTTCTCGTTTCATATGGAAATACACATGTATTTACTAGAAACGCTAACAAACAAGGTACCTAACTACACACATGTGCTATGTTATACCTTTACCAACAAAAACGAAGAAAATAAGGGCTGAAACATTTCATGCCCACAATAATCGTGCACATGCACAACTGAGTTCATTAAACAAATTTTAATGACGTCACCCGTCTTCCATTGTACAGGGTGATCGGAAGATATTACGAATATACTAATACCTAAATACCTAAATGTATTATGTGAATAGATTTTCATGCTTGGTTCCTCACACAGGTTCGAGTTCAAGTTCAAGTGAATCTGAGAGCGATTACGATTCTCAAGTTAGTTATCAGGAAGTACTTTCTCCTGTTCCTGACGAGTTGCAACCAATAATGGAACAACCGGTGGTGGACGCCGTAGAGATATTAGGAGTGGACCCGTTGGCTACTAGGCCAACAGGCCCGGACGTGCATGAGCAAATTGCAAGCAGATGGACCATATTTCTGCAGAAGGGTATAGAGAAGGTAGATCGAAAAGAGCTAACCGAGAAATATCCACCTCCTAACAACGTGCCAGCCCTGAATCCACCCAAGATGAACCCCGAAATTCAAGGATGCTTAACAGAAAACCTAAACAAGCAGGACAGCTTCCTGACAAAAGTACAGGAACAACTGAGTGCCGCGATATGCGCAGTAGCCATTCCGCTCAACACTTTTTTCTCATCAGCTGCAGATGATACTAATCCACATCTTCTGCACTTAGCAAACGCAGCTAAACTTTTGGCAGATGTTCATCATACAATCTCCTCGCATCGACGATATGGCGTATCCGGGACCCTGGATCACTCGGTCAAGAAAACAGTCATGGACAGGCCAATTGATGAGTGGCTTTTTGGGAGCAACCTCGGCGATAATGTCAAAAGTACCAAGGAAATTCAAAAGGCATCGGCTGATTTGAAATTGAAACGAATCAACCGGCCAACTTATCGTCCGAATTCGATACAGAGCAACCAACCCACAACGTCATCAGCAACTCCTTTAAACTTCAAGCGCCAATCGAGCAAATTTCGACGCAAAAAAGAGGAGGGAGGCAGGAAGGACAGGCCAGTCCAGCAACAGCGATGGGGAGGGGAGAAGAGGAAAGAACCACCACGCAGGAGAACGTAGAGGTAACCTATGCCGGTAGATTGAAAAAATATTCCAATGTATGGAAGAACATTACAGATAGTTCTCTAATTTTAGAATGGACTAAAGGATATAATATTCCCTTCGAAGAACAACCATATCAACGAACAGAACCCCCAGATATAACAAGTACATGTCAAATGACAACAGTGGACAATATTGTCCGCGAGTTACTTACCATGGGTGCGATATCGCATTCCAAACACGAAAACGGGGAGTTTCTGTCAAATTATTTCCTCACACAAAAATCAAATGGTTCATTTAGATTTATATTGAATCTGAAAAAATTGAATTCATTTATAAATCCTCCTCATTTCAAATTAGAGGACTATCGTAGTGTCAAGGACCTCTTACATGATGGCAATTATGTTTGTACTATTGATATCAAAGATGCATACTTTTTACTCCCTATTCACCAGGACCATAAAAAGTACCTAAAATTCAAATTTCAAAACACACTATATAACTTCAACTGCTTGCCCTTTGGCTTATGCACAGCACCATACGTTTTCACAAAACTCCTGAAACCGGTACTGTCCCACTTGCGAAACCAGGGGATTATTTGCGTAGCTTACCTGGACGATATGATTATTATATCACAGACATATAAAGAATGTGCACATGACACTCTCCTAGCCGTGAATCTGCTCAAATCATTAGGCTTCATCATAAATACAGAAAAAAGTAAACTAGAACCGAAACAAGATTGTCATTTCTTGGGATTCATATTCAATACTATCGATATGACCATGACATTGCCAATAGAGAAGAAACAAAATATCAAACAATTGACTGTAAAGTATCAAAATAATCCTCATGTCTCCATAAGAGAGTTTGCTAAATTTATTGGCGTATTAACCGCGGCTTGCCCGGCAGTCAAATACGGGTGGGTTCATACAAAAAAAATGGAAAGGGCGAAATATTTGGCCTTAATAGAATATAACGGTGATTATGATAAGACATTTCAATTACCAAGTTTCATTAACGAAGACATACTCTGGTGGCAATATCATGTCGGTAATAGTCGAATGACTCTCGAGGAGCCGAAATATGAAATGGAGATATATTCAGACGCATCCAAGTACGGCTGGGGGGCCGTTTGTAATAATAAAAGAGCTCGAGGATTCTGGAATCACTCAGATAGCAAAAGACACATCAATTTCTTAGAACTCAAAGCAGCCTCGAACTCTCTGAAGTGTTTTACTAAAAATAAAAATAATTGTGAAATTATCATCAGAATAGATAACACAACTGCAATTTCCTATATAAATAGAATGGGGGGTATTAAATTTGAGAAATTGAATGATCTCGCTCATGAAATATGGGGCTATTGTGAAGGCAAGAATATATTTCTTCATGCCTCATACATTAATACTAAACAAAACACTCAAGCAGACTACGAATCCAGATGTCGAGACATTGAAACAGAGTACGAACTCTCACAGAAGCATTTCAGAATAATTTGCAAAAAGTTTGGCAAACCACAAATAGACCTATTTGCCTCTAATCTGAATTCTAAATGCGAACAATATGTATCTTGGAAACCAGATCCTGAATCATGCTCTGTCGATGCTTTTCTGATATCCTGGAAACATATTTTTTTTTATGCCTTCCCACCCTTTACCATCATTAATAAAATAATCAGGAAAATAATTAATGATAAAGCAATCGGTATCTTAGTAGTACCAAAATGGACAGCTCAACCCTGGTATCCTATGTTTAGGAAGTTATTAGTCAGAGAATCAATATGTCTAGGACCCGAAGCCAATCTTATTTTATCACCTTTCAGGGAACCCCACCCCCTTTCAAGGAGCCTTATCCTGGAGGTCGGAATCTTATCAGGCAATCATTTCTTCGAAGAAAATTTCCAGAATCAGGTATAGAAGCAATTCTTTCCTCAATAACCGAGAAAACACTCACTCAATATGAGTCTGTATTCAGGAAATGGTGGGAATACTGCATAAATAATAATCAAATACCATACGAATACGATTTGAAGTCCGTAATAAATTTTCTTACAGAAACCTCACAATTGGGGTGCTCGTATTCAAAAATTAATTCATATAAATCAGCACTGGCACTTGTTCTTGAAATTCAAGAACAGGACCAAAATATGATCAAACGTTTCCTAAAAGGGATTTATAATTTAAATCCTCCCAAGCCCAAATATAATTCCACCTGGGACCCATATCCTGTTCTGGATCATTTATCTAAATGGTATCCTTTAGAAAACATCACAATGAAACAATTAACTCAAAAAATGGTCACTCTGATGATACTGATCTCCGGTCAAAGATTGCAAACCTTAACAAAAATCAAAATAGAAAATATCAAACAAACACCTGAGTCTATTATGATATATGTACCCGATAGAATAAAAACATCGGGAAGGAATAGGCCTCAACCTGTTCTCATACTTCCTTTTTTCCACGAGAAACCAGAATTATGCTTGGCATCGACCGTCATAGAATACCTACTAAGAACCAAAAATACCCGGCAAGCCGATGATAGCCACCTTATACTAACTATCAAAAAACCCTTTCGTACAGCTAGCAGTCAAACCATCAGTCATTGGATAAAAAATATTCTTAATGAGTGTGGCATAGACACTGAGGTCTTCACAGCCTACTCCTCGCGTCACGCTGCAACCTCAGCAGCTTATCGAGGTGGCGCAAATATAGAATCCATCAGAAAGGCTGCTGGCTGGACACCAACAAATCAGCAGTATTTGCAAAATTTTATAATAAACCTGTCGAACCATACCCAAATGATTTCGCGAAAGGCTTATTAAGAAGTTCAGGCTTTGAAGTATAGTTATGTAGGCTTATTTATGAAAACAATCTATATGTCAGAACGAATTTGTATGAATCGTATGTCGAAAGATACATTGAGGAACTCAAAATGAAAATTTAGAATCCAAATTTTGTTGTATATTTTGTTATATTTATTGATATGTATAATATACTTAACTAAAGTTAAAATGATGGAAATATGTTTTGTAATCGTAATTACTTATATACCATATCGTTGAATATTGCGTATGATTGTATATATTATTTTTCTACATGTTAATAAATGTACTGTTTATTTACATTATACATTGACATTTCAATAACATTTAATAATAATGAATGAACATACCTACTATTGAAAGTCAAACACATAATGTGTCCACCTAGATTGTTAGCCAGTCTCTCAACATCTACAGGGTGTTTATAATCTGAGACGAGACTGCGAAATATAATTGAAAGATCAATCGACTTACCTGAAGGAAGAGTGATCTCAATTATATGAGCAGTCTCGTCGAAAGATTATAAACCTCCCTCCCAACTATACCCTCCCTTGCAATCTAGGTAGGTAAGTACTCTGAACCAATGAAGATAAATCAAGTTCGGGAAGTGATAAAGAAATACCGGTGACTAATAAACAAAAAACTTGTATTTCTTTAAACGTCGTAGGCAAGGTATAGCGCGCTAGGACTACAGGGTGTTTATAATCTTTCGACGAGACTGCTCATATAATTGAGATCACTCTTCCTTCAGGTAAGTCGATTGATCTTTCAATTATAATAATTTGTTTCTTCGGTCAAATATGTTTCAAATGGCCCTGATTCAGAATTCAACATTATTTTTTATGAAAAAAAAAATCACTAATAGTTCTTTCTGAATGAATGAATAATAATAATAAATAAAATTGGTCACAGTTGGTGATCACTGCTCTCTTCTTGGATGGACATCTCAAATACCAATATAATATCTAACAAAAACTTTCGAAATCGGTCAGGTAATAATGATTTTACTGGGGTGGTAAGTCCTTCGTAGACACACTGTATATGGCAACTTTTTGGAGTTAATAGTGTATTCTGAAAATATTTTCAACTGCAGAATTATATTGTCAATCTGAATATACCTATCATCTTGTATAACGTACTCTACAAAAGATAGGAATCTATATATCGATCAATACTACTGAATATTCATGAAATATTCATCTTGAGTAATTCATAATTAAACGTTATGTTCATAACTCAAGCTACCTGACTATTACTACACTCGATTAACAACAACGTCCTGATAATATTACGTTTTGATTGCCTTGAAGCTACTCCGAATTACAATTTATTAGTTTATTTTCTTCTAACTACAGTTAACCACAGTTAAATGGCTATTCGTAGAATGAAATCGATGAAGATATTCGAGTATCTCAGAGGTAGGGTGTCCCATAATAACGGTTTGATAGAGATGCTTTCACCCACAAAGTGATAAAGAAACGCGAATACGAGTACTAGGTATAAACAGGTATAAAGGGTAAGGAGTCTCTTTGAAAATTACAAAATCAACTATTTTGCTTTTCCAAACTTGTATGAGCTAATAGATTTCCAATAAAGTTCGGAACATGTCGCTATGTTTTTAACATTATTATGATATTGAATGTTTTGGAGATGACTCTATGATAAAGTTTCCCATCAACTTCAACTTACTCCATTGTTGAGCACTGCTGCACTATTTACTCCTACGACGTCGAATATATAATATTATAGGTAATAACAAAATAGAACATTATACATCAAGGGACAGAAATGCAAGATTTTTCCCAAGGTGCAAGGGAAAAATCTAAGGTGTACATACTAAATTAATGAAGAAGAAAAATCTGGTCAAAGTGTTTTGTCATAATTAGTGGTAGTATAGTTTGTGGATCTTAGTTTGTGGAATTCGTATCTTGACAACATGTATCTTGTTGACAACCCATGGTGACAGCAAATATCGAACTGAAATTTATGAAAATAGCTTTGAAAATGGTTAACGATTATGGTACAAGAAACCGAGGGAAAATCCCAAGAAACTATTGATACTGCTTCTGCAGAGATCTAGAAATCTGTATGATGTAGGCTTATACTCGCTTCAGAGAAGGGTGTTCCCAAAAGAAAACGCAGAGCTATACGGAAAATGTAAAGTTGGTAGAAGCTCCCTAGGGAGAAAATA